TGATTTTTGTGCAAGGAAGACACGCCCTAAGGCAGAATGAAATTCATGACTAGTACCATTATTCTTGCTTAAAAAAGAGGGAAGATCAATCTCGCATGTAATGTCATATTTTTGTGTCGTTTGCAATTTTTTAATTAAAACTGTATTAACTTGGAATAGTGAATCCTGTTTGCAGTTGATTAGTTTTTATTTCTCGCTGGTACTCTTTCTTAAGTTATAATACACTGAGAACCATATTCCCCTGCCTAGCATCCTAAACAGCGACGTTATAACATATCGACGCCGTACAAATGGACCGAGTTGACCGAGTTGACCAGGGTAGTGGACCGAGTTGACCGAGTTGACCAGGGTAGTGGACCGAGTTGGCCGAGTTGACCGAGTTGACCAGGGTAGTGGACCGAGTTGACCGAGTTGACCGAGTTGACCGAGTTGATCGAGTTGATCGAGTTGATCGAGTTGACCAGGGTAGTTGACCGCGTTGACCGAGTTGATGAGTTGACCAGGGTAGTGGACCGAGTTGACCGAGTTGACCGAGTTGATCGAGTTGATCAGGGTAGTGGACCGAGTTGACCGAGTTGACCAGGGTAGTGGACCGAGTTGACCGAGTTGTCCGAGTTGACCGAGTTGACCGAGTTGATCGAGTTGACCGAGTTGACCGAGTTGATCGAGTTGACCAGGGTAGTTGACCGAGTTGACCGAGTTGACCGAGTTGACCGAGTTGATCGAGTTGACCGAGTTGACCAGGGTAGTGGACTGAGTTGACCGAGTTGACCAGGGTAGTGGACCGAGTTGACCGAGTTGACCGAGTTGACCGAGTTGACCAGGGTAGTGGACCGAGTTGACCGAGTTGATCGAGTTGACCAGGGTAGTTGACCGAGTTGACCGAGTTGACCGAGTTGACCGAGTTGACCGAGTTGACCGAGTTGATCGAGTTGACCGAGTTGACCGAGTTGACCGAGTTGACCAGGGTAGTGGACCGAGTTGATCGAGTTGACCAGGGTAGTGGACCGAGTTGACCGAGTTGACCGAGTTGACCGAGTTGACCAGGGTAGTGGACCGAGTTGACCGAGTTGATCGAGTTGACCGAGTTGACCGAGTTGACCGAGTTGACCGAGTTGACCGAGTTGACCGAGTTGACCTGGTAGGTTGGACCGACGTTGACCGAGTTGACTACGGAGTTAGACCGAGGGTAGTTAGGACCGAGTTGATCGAGTTGACCAGGGTAGTTGACCGAGTTGACCGAGTTGATCGAGTTGACCGAGTTAACCGAGTTGATCGAGTTGACCGAGTTGACCGAGTCGACCAGGGTAGTGGACCGAGTTGACCGAGTTGACCGAGTTGACCGAGTTGACCGAGTTGACCGAGTTGACCGAGTTGATCGAGATGACCAGGGTAGTGGACCGAGTTGACCGAGTTGATCGAGTTGACCGAGTTGACCGAGTTGACCGAGTTGACCAGGGTAGTGGACCGAGTTGACCGAGTTGATCGAGTTGACCGAGTTGACCAGGGTAGTTGACCGAGTTAGTGCTCTAGCCTTATTTGTTGACATTGTGCGCCGTGTTTTTCAGCCCACTTTGTCACTGAAGCCGCGTTATACAATGGAAACCTGTAATCGACACCAGAGTTCCTCTTTCTTTAAAAAGACACATTGTTCAGGTACCAGCGCAAGGCAAAGCACTTAAATTACCTACAAGAGTACATGCCATATATAGTGGCTATGAGCTTTTGACACGTTATCACGTATGAACCCTAGGCCTTTTGCAGGTTTGCTGAAATTTCGTCTTTGATATTCCTATTTGATTAGATTACATGCTATGTAAGCTCTTATGTCATTGTGTACAAGGCCGTTATCATTGCTTGTTAATAAAGGAAACGATGTCGACTGTTATGTCATACAGAATGTTGCTGGACATTCACATGAAAGGACCCTCTTTCGAGTGACAACGGATCGGAGGAATGGCTATTCCTGTCCCAGGTAACCAAGATGCGGCTCCCGCCGTCCCTGTCCCGGCCAACGGAGAAGCGGCTCCTGCCGTCCATGTCCAAGTCAACCTACATGTAGAGGTAGCTCCTGCTATCCCTGTCCCAGCCAACGTAGAGGCGGCTCCTGCTATCCCTGTCCCGGCCAACGGTGAGGCGGCTCCTGCTATCCCTGTCCCGGCTAACGGAGAGGGGGCTCCCGCCGTCCCTGTCCCAGCTAACGGAGAGGTGGCTCCTGCTGTCCCTGTCCCAGCTAACGGAGAGGTGGCCCCTGCTGTCCCTGTCCCAGCTAACGGAGAGAGGGCTCCTGCTGTCCCTATCCCAGCTAACGGAGAGGGGGCTCCTGTTGTCCCTGTCCCAGCTAACGGAGAGAGGGCTCCTGCTGTCCCTATCCCAGCTAACGGAGAGGGGGCTCCTGCTATCCCTGTCCCAGCTAACGGAGAGGGGGCTCCTGCTATCCCTGTCCCGGCCAACGGAGAGGCGGCTCCTGACGTCCCTGCCAACGGAGCTGTTGCCCTTGCTGACCAGGTTCCGGCTGATCAGGTATTGTCATTACAATAGCTTTGTTATCTAAACTCTTACACTTTTAAGACTGATTGATTTTTAAGACAGCTTGACTAAGTACCTATATGTAAATGCATGATAACACCCTTGGATGGTGGTGGATACATAGATGTTGTGCGTACATTGTAGCAAGTTTTCTCTTTCTAACGTCTGTTTGATGGTATTTGAAATAAAGAAATTAATCATTTTTATCTCAAAGGATCAGCGAAGGCCTCGGCCGTTGACCCTTGAGCAACTACTGTTCTACATGATCTTTCTGGGTACTTTGATCCTGCTGCGACCGGTGACAAATACTAAACACCCTCTCATGACAATTGGCACCAGGTAATTATACAGCAGATATTCATGTGCAAACACTTATATATAAAATTTTATATAAATTTTCACTGGACATCAGCCAGCGTTCATGCGTTAAGAGCATGTCACTTTGCAGTGGACAATGATTCATATTCCTACGAAATATTCATTATACATTTGCAATGCATATGTTACTGCTGGGTACGGAAGTGTTGTTTTGGGTGGCGTATTTGTTTGTCCGAACAGAGTAGGTTGACAGCACGTGGGTGGGGAAGGTTGGCAGGCAGAATGACTCATGAAGGTCTCAGAATATGGCCAGGAGCCAGCAGTAATTAATGGTCGACATGTGGGGAATTCAGGAACGCAAGAATTGCATACTTCCAGGACGTCTGAAATCTCTGATTTCTTGTTATCATCGATCAGGTATGGATCCATGCTGTTCATGACCAACTTCCCGGACGACACTATCGGAGTAGGTGATATTGTCTCGGCCAAAGTTCCAGGACAAGAATTACCATGGATACGCAGGGTCGTGGAAGTTAAGGAGGAGTAAGTACAAGATGTTCTCTGGTTCTTCTGACAATGGATGGAAATTTTTGATAAAGGAATTTGAAAATTCATGCTTTTCATAAACATAACACATGCCCCATTACTTTGATAGAATTTATGATTATGTAAGAAAATAACATTATTTGCACAATTTTAGTTGTTTAATGACAAAATTTTAGTTTCATGTATAGAAGGTTGTGTAGAAGGCTGTATAGAATACCTACATTCAAAATTAGTGGAGGTATCCTGGGGTATTGAAGTTTATGATTTATGCGCTGTACATTAAAAATCATGTCGTACTTTTATCACTAGCGGCGAAAACAACCTATTGTACCTGACAAAAGGGGACAACGTTGACAACAAGTTCCCAGTGAGTGATACAGCCGACCCCAATCCACTGTCTCCCATATGGCTTACGAGGAACGAAATTCTGAGCAAGATGAAGATGTAAGTTTACATGTATTTCCTCCTTAATTTGTAATGAAATGTGTAAAATCGTAATACGAGCCAAGCATATAGCAAAGTTCTAGTGATTGCAAATTCAAAGGTACGGCCCAAAATGTACAAACTGTTAGACGTATGGACCGAATCGTCAGGAATTCTGTGCTTTGATTATACAGAGCTTTAAAATTTAATCAATGTCACAACAGGTGCACGATGCGCTGAGAGAATAATATCAGATACGGCAATAGTAATGCTTATATTATTTCTACTGATTGTAACAGGAATATCCCACTCCTTGGAATCCCTCGCCTTCTGATGGTCTCGATCTCGGACTCTCCATATCTGGTGATTGAACAATTTTCTTTCTACAATTAAATTTAAGATGTAGTTTCTGTCTTTTTGCGTGGTGAAAAACGTAAGGACTTCGAAGAAGTCGTCAACGTCCAATTAAATATTTTATTCTTTTATTGTGTACTTTTAATATCTTTCATCTTTCATTTTTACTTGATATTTTTCATCTTTTTACAGGCTCCCATCAAGTACCTAGCATTGGCATTTGTCTACTTCTATCTGACCTTTATGGTGGTTGGATCGGTCATAGCTGTATGTACATTGTATGCTAGGGCGTGAAGAGGGCGTTTTGGTTGCTTCCATGTGCGGGGTTGTTGTTCTCTTTATGTCTGTTTCTGTGTTTGCTTGGTTTTCCGAACTTAGTTCCAATGGCTAGACACCTCGGAGACAGGAAGTTAGGTCAAAGTCCCATGAACATTTCGTGTCTTTAATTTCCTGCTATATGCATTTCTGATGCCTTGTGGGGCATGAACAGAATCAGCGAGAAACAAGAAAATTTAAAAAAATGTAAATATTTCAAGATCTTTGCTTTCTTGTAATATGGCTGTGAGAGGTACTTCTTGCTCATAATAGACTAAATGATGTGCTATTCTATAAT